ATCGAGGTCGACGTCTGCAAGCAAATCGGACAACACCTCTTGAGAACAGACGACATCTCGAGCCAGGTCGCAAGCGTCTCGCAGGTGGTCGGGATGATTGACCTGCAGGAACAAACGTGTTTCATTGTTTTTAACCTCAATGGACCAATCACGTTTAACAAACATGGTGCGTGGTATCGACTGCGTGGTTAATATTGAGCTCAGTGAGAACAGGAACTGTGCACCCTCATGCCAGTCAGGTTTCATCTCACTGTACAGTCGTCTGGGCTCAATCGTTGTGGAGTCAGTGACAAAGCAGCTCACTACGTTCACCTCGGCATTCTTAAATCCTGAGACGGCTTCTGATTTTCTCCAGTGATCATCAATAGCTCCGTCTCCAGGCTTTCCGTCTGATAGGACAAATAGGACCTTTTCATGACTTGAAACCTCACTGGTTCTCATAAGGTTTGTGGCCCTTTCAATTGACTCATACAAAGGCGTTCCACCGTAGATGTAGGGCTCGATTCTTCGTAATAATTCTCGACTCCTTTCCTTTGAGAGTTCCTCTTCATCGAAACATCCATGTAAAATATCTGAGGCTTTGCGCACATTGAAAATGGAATCTTCTCCTACACTTCTCTTCATCAAATGTGGTGCAGCCTTGTCAATTACATCTTTGACGTCTTCTGTTGTAGCTCTTTTAAACGTCGTCACGACAGAGGTAGCCACTGTTTCTACGAGGCCTAGAAGTGGATTATCCTCTGTATGCCAATCACGGCAAGCTGGTGGTAGAAACTCCATGACGAATTTACGTGCAAATGACTGGTCAGACTGACATTTTCTTAGTAACAAATCAGCTGTGTAATCCGGTACTACTTTTCTGGCGACTTCCACGTCTGCCCATTTGCGGATGTAACGGGCACCGGCCTTCTCCAGTACTTTAAAAATTTCATTTAAGTGGCCGCGTGTGACGGGCTTGTCATTTCTATCGAAAGCTCGGTTATGAAGGTGAATACGTTGAAGGGTTCCCAGGATGTCGAATATTTGCTCACCTTCGTTAGCCCCGAAGCCAACAGCAAAAACGTGGTTGTCAGCGGAAACATCGTATTTGATAAGGTTGTCAATGACCTCAAAGATCGAACGAGCCCACGGTTCTCCGTCTTCATCAATACCACTTCCAATGTTACGCTCCATGGATCCGGAGACATCAAGTAGGATTCCAATTAATGCGGGCATGTTTCCTTTGTCTGCAATTATAATTATAAGAATCGGCCTTGACATACTGGTTTACAAAAATACCAGTGAACTAAACTTTCGCATTGATTACACTATCACGTGATTATTGACCAACCCCGCGGAGATTTAGTATGAGATTGCTTAGAATCGAACTTGGAAATATTTTTTTTCTTTAATTGTAACTATATAAGCGACTTAACGAATTCTGGCGCACTGTCTTTTTCACAAACTGTTTATCAGGATCTGTGTCTGCTTAGTATTCTATTATAGGGGACAGTAGATCGATATTTTTCGTTTTTCCACGTTAATAATAGTCATTGTACAAAACCATAGTCTGTGCAGAACCATGCGGACCATGCGGACGTCATGCTAGTTCGTCCTGGTTTTCAATTGGCTGGGTTCATAGAATGTATGATTTGAAACACCTGATCGCCTTTTTTTCCGGGAATATAATTAAATTGCAAATGAAACAAATTTCTCGGAAGGCCCAGCAGATATAAGTTACGAATGGCCATTACTTTAACTGCGGAAAGATAAAATTCACACAAAAAATAAATCTAGCTTCATGAAAAGCAAGCGATGGCAGTTCTTGTTAGACCGATAGCACCTCGAGATTTTCTATACTAGCCTTTTGTTCGCTAAAAATCAATCCCCTGCGTTTCAAAGTGGATGGTTTTCTCAGTACTGGAGGTCGGGTAGTTGAGGAAATGTAATCATTTGACGAGTCACCAGCTATGTCTGCATGAATTTATGTTTTAGCCTGTATTATTACCATCAGCTCCCTTCCAAAGACTTGGGAAGTGGATTGAATCCTTTTTTCATCGGGTCGTGCTGAAGATTCTCAAAGTACGCTATTGACATCTTTTAATGTAATCACACTCTATAATTTCCTTTTCTGGTGCCTTTTGGCCTAGAAATCTGAGTTGCGCTGTTCAAGAACCGCTCGTCAGACAAAATCATGTTAGAAGTAAAGATTCTTTCGCTTTTAAGGTCTATATTTGAATTTGACTTCTATCAATACGGAAGTGCACTAAAGCGTATTCGATTTTTCCTGAATACTCCGTATCGCGGCTGGAACGCGATAGATAATGGAAATTGGTTTACAAACCACGACCAGTTTCGCTCCTTTTCGGCCGAGTGATGTATTCAAAGTGGCCACACTGTATTCTTCTTGTCAATCTAACCGAAGAAAGCGGTCCGTATGGATTAA